TCACGAGCCTTGCGACCAATCCGGCTTGTGTGAAAGCCAAGTGAAGATGTGGAGATATGTGATTTCTTTCATGAGAGATTGGTATAGCTAGCTAGCTCAAATTGTTATTATATATAAAGGTTTTTTTTTTTCTTTTTAGTGAAAGAAATAATGATGTGGATTATGAAATAAGTTGTTATTTGAAGTTGATGGTGTGTATGGCAACCTTGCGTGTTGCATGAAGCCTCATTTGGTAGAAAATATTGCCACCATGTGAGGGAGCCGTATCAGTTACATCATTTGAGTGAATTCGACTCTTTTGTACGAGGAGTATTGATCTTGTTTGTTATGTTTTTATTATTTTTCTGGGCTTTCTTTCTTTTTTTTAGAAAGGGAGGTTTTTTTTCTTCTTAGGTTGAGTTTGATTGTTTTGAGTTGGCAGAACTTTTTTGATTTGGTAGGCTTTGTCAAGTTGATATAGTCTATTTTTTTATGGGCACTTATCAATAGAGTGACGATAGACTATTGATTAGAGGATGAATAATCTTTTTAGGATTTTTAATCCTGATTTTTTTATTATAGAGCGTAAGAGAGAAGAGAGATATACGGAGAGAGACAACGACGAGAGTGAATAATAATGAACAACAAATTATATCAATCATATTGACATTTCCCAACCTTTTTGGCTAAAATTGTGTTTCTATTCTACATGAAATAATCTCCCTAATTATGAGAGAGAGAGAGAGAGAGAGATTATAATATAGTAATGTTATATATTTTTTTTCTCCTAATTTAATGGGAGTTGAGTATTATAGATATTTAACATGTTTGAACCTATCGCTTGATTGCTCTCTAACTTGATCAAATGAGCTTATTTGGCTTCAACTTGGTATGGTTGGTCTAGTCGGCTAGGGTGAGCCAGCATTGCTGGTTGGCTTGGTTTAATTGGCTTCAGGTCTACGAGATTGATTCAATTAGCCAAGCTTTATTGATCAATTGGTCTAATATAGTTGTCGACCCTCGATCCCTTGCAAAGAGTTTCAATCGACAAAGTAATACTAGATTATTGAGCAAATGGTGAATCACCGTGACCCAAGAAATAACCTTCTCTTCAATAAGGAGAACCCGAGGGATGTTTGCATGACACTTTGTAGCTCTATTAATTCTTAATCCCTGATGAATAGGCTCGGGGGCGTCCTGGAATGTTTGGTGATATTGAGGAACTGAATTTTTCCTTGAGTTTGATCTACCCAAAGGGAGGTTGATGCCTTCAATCGACTTTCTTGTGGCTGACTTGAATTTCTATTTGTCTTGTTTTTTATTGAAAGACCCAAATTCAACCACCTTCGTTGATTGGCTTTGGCTTTGCTTGTTATGGCTTGGACAGTTGCATCCGATCAGTTAAGTAAGCATCCTTGGCTTCTATTTCGAGTCATCGTACGTCGTACTTTCTTCCTTTTGGACAGCTAGATATCCTCGGGAACAGTGCTGACACAATTTCAATGTACAATTTCTATATTTCTTATGTTGACCTTGTCTTTTTAACTTGAAGTCGTTGATATTTTTTAGGGATGTGTTCAATGATGTTGCTATCAGATTATCACTAGATAGGAACCATACCAACCTCATCAACGACTTGCATGATAAAGGAATTTCATCAATAAAAGAAGAAACTCTCTGAAGGGAGGATAATGACTTGACTTTGGAGCTTAATAAGCAAAGGAATAGGAGGGGGATGTGGTAGGAGCTTCTCTAAAGGCTCCAACACTTGCTGCTACTTGCCGTTATTCTTTACTATACTAGCAAAAACCATATCCCTACACCAAAGATGACTCCAAACAATAACATTTATTGCAATGGGTGCTAACAAATTTGATCTCATGCAAATCTATACATTAACAAATGTTGAAAACTTCCAAAGGCAACAAAGAAATGAAACTTATGATGCAACCGTACGGTCAGAGCCCCTCAATTAATGGGAAAAATATTTCGGCCAAATGTCTATAGATCATGATGGCTAACCATTGGCATGTACGTCCCCGGCCAATGAGGTTTATGACAATGTGGTGGCTGGTGATTGACCGTTCGGACGTGCAGTGTCGGAACAATTTTTTTCTCCCAATATGGAGGGACGATTGAGCAATTTTTTAATAGGAAAAGAGTTTGATAGAGCTACAACGCTCTTGATATTTATTTATATTTAATCCAATAATAAATAATTAGAGATTAAACCTTATTTTATGTAAGCCTTATTTAATTTGATTAGTTGATAAAAAAAATTGAACGCAAACATAACTGTATAGATTATAACTTTAAAAATATAAGCAATTTAATAAATTTTAATTGTTTCATTTTGTAGTGCCCCCAATTTGAACACATGCTAACTAAGGGTCTGTTGGGAGCAACTTCAGTTAATTAAAAAAAAGTTGTGAA